CCTACTCTTTGAGCCTCAAGGACTCCACGCCACTATCAGGGCAGCGAAACAAACTTTCAAGATAGCAATACTTTGACTTTGCAAACCCTACAACCCTACAAACAGGACGACAAAATGACAAACAGCTTAGCTTTCTTTTTTTCTTTTCGTCCCGTCTTTTATTTGTTTTGGGGGCATACCAAAATGTAAAAAAGAAAAAAAGCGGGAGAGAAATGCGGCAGCATATGCACCCTAGAAGCACTTTGGAATGCTCATAATTCTTTTGGTTTCAAAGCGTACCGAGGTTACTTCTTTAATCACTGCAGTGGGTAATGTTTATAATCTTGCGTTCAACACGTGAGTCGTGAAAGTTCCTTTACGTATATAGACTCTCAAAAATTAGTTCAATAGCCAAAGCTGTCGCTTGACGCTTTTTTAAAGAATGATTATTGACCTACAACTTCAAGCGTGCCATCAACGTCTCCAACAGAGTCGGCACATTCACGTCAGGCAGCATCGTCCGCCCTAGGCGAGAGCAATGTCATGGCCAACGACGTCGGTATCAATGTCGCAATCCTCGGGTTTGGCCAATCACCAGCCTGTGCGGAGCATTCGTTTCATTAAACAAACTGTCTGAGGAAGTTCTGGTTTGGACACAGATGTGAAGGGACCGCACCGCTTAGCGCGTGTCACCGGTAGAGACAACTTGCCTTGGTCCCCAGGTCTTGTATTCTAATGTCAACCGCCTGCTGCAAATCCTGGCCACCATGCCCGTTAGCGCCGCTGAGGCGGAACGTTCGGTCTCGAGACTCCGAAGACGGGAGCCATACCTGAGAGCATCAACGTCCCCGGAGCGCTTGCTGCTCCGTTCTTAGCTCAGACCAGCGCGAGCTCGCTGGCTTCCGCTGTGCTTCGTTTGCGCGCCTGCGCGTTCAGACTTGTGCCAGCAAGGGCAGAAAGCTCGCGCTGAAGGCGGAACTTCTAGTCTCAGCTAAGGGTGAACGGAGTATAGGGGTTGCGCTTTTGAACATTCACGGGAACATCCAAGACAGCTCCGAAAGGGTCCTCTCGCTTCTTTCGATCGACCGACCGCGGCTTCCACTAAATGTTTAGACCCCACAAAACGATAGAAACTGGTACTTTTCTCTGCCACTTTCTCGGAAAACCACAACAAAGAACGGAAAAAATCAGAAACATGACCACAACACGATCATTTCTGAAAAATGTGCGCAGGAACAATGAGCGTGACGTTTCACTTGCTCGTTGCCCCGGTCAGTGCTCATTGGAGTTTTTATGTGTAATCGTATTCTAAACTTCGCTATTCTTTGGCACTCTTACGTAGTTTTCACTCATTGGATACCCCAGTGTTCCACAGAGAAGGGAACGCACCGGAATATTTTGTGAGCCTGTCTAGACTTTTTTGTTCAAAGCGCATTATTATATTTTATGATTGCGTGTTTTCGTTGCTCCACAGTAAAGTTCCCCTCTTTAAAGATCGGAGGGACGAAATAAAAAAGGTTGAATTCTTGTCTTCTGAGAAACAGAAAAATAGCAACTAAAATTGTGTTTGCGAAATTTCTTTTCCTCTTTCTTGATTTTTTTTTTTCTACTTTTGAATGGTCTGGGCAAAGGAAAGCATCCCCTGAAAACATTTCCTGGCTACGGCACTGGCGGACTGCTTTCTAACTGTTCGCGTACCGGATCGCCGTGCAATGATCGAAAAGGACAACGAGCTGGCGTGTTATCTCCGATGGGTGGAAAACGCACCAATCTCGCCGTGCCCTTTTATTTCGATATGGCGTAAAATGTGCGTGAAATATCAACAGGTAAAGTGACAAGATTTAGCCACATAAACAAAATCAATCATACTGTGAATTAAAGCCGTCCATCTTTATATTTAATCCCGTGTAGGTATGCCGCGAACTTTTTTCGACCGAAGTTTCGGTGATCGATTCAAGTGGTTCAAAAGATTTCAAATTTTTGAACTTTCCATATTAAGAAATTTGACGGAAGTCGAATTTTGGAACTTGTTAAACTAAGAAGTTCGGCGCTTTCCGAAATTTCGAACTTATTACCCAGCAAAATTCGATGCTTGTCGAACTTTCGAACTTGATAGACTAAAAAATCGATGATTTTCGAACTTTCGACCTTCTTGCACTAAAAAGTTCGAAGCTTTCCGAACTTTCAAACTTCCTACGCTAAGAAATTCGAAAATGTACGAACTTTCGAACTTATTAATCTACAGAATTCAAAAATTGTCGAACTTTCGATTCCTGAAACGTCAAAGGTTTGACGAACTTCGAGCTTTTAGGGTAAAAGTTCGAAGTTCGTCGAACTTAAAAAAACCGGCGGGCGGTTTCATTTGGATTCAAGCAGTGAGGTACATTCGCAATTTTTTTTTCTCGCAATTTTACGTGCGTTGCCACATTCCTTGCGAAAGACAATGCCGTTTATTTCAATCATCTGGCATGCTTGGTTTTAAAGAAATAGATTCCCGAAGGAGCGAGGAAGGACGACGGGTTTTTGACAATTATCGTACGTGCCGTATTTGAAGCTCGCTATAGCCGAAGCTATTTATGGTAGAGATGTTAAACTTTTTTAAGAATGATCTATGTATAGCTTAGGTAAGTGTCGTCTTAAGATATGATTATTGTTGTTCAAGACGAGTTCCGAAGAAATATCAAAACATATACCTACGGGCAATTATGCCCTAAACTTGGTAATTTTTTTCGCCTACATTCTTTAGGTATCGCAGTTAAATTAACACCAGAGACAGTACATATCATTACCATCTGCAGATTACAAGATAATGTATTTCTTTTTTTTCCCCCCGTTGAGGAACAAATTAACTCATGGGGGAAGATTTCTAAAATTGTTCAAGTTCAACACGTCATAAAAAAAAAACACTTTTTTTTTCTCAATTTACGTTTTTGAGACGTGTTTCTTTTGGCCTGTGCACATTTTGGTGGGAGAAACTTGTTTCATAGTTCTGGGCCTCTGAATATGCAAGAATACAACACTTCCGGCTGGTTCTTGATAGTTCTTTTTTCTCTCCAGCTTTTTATTCTTGCATTTATTGTTATGTTTATTTATTGATTATCTTTTACCAATGGCACAGTTATTCAGGGCGAAAAGACATAGCTTTGAACTTCCAAGCCACCGAGCATGTGACGAGTAGTGCCTTCTGACAACGAGTTTCTAACAATGACCATCTACGCGATCTTTTATGCAGTGACGAGCGACAGTAGCTATACATATGCATAAATAATTTCAGATTAAAAGAGGCTAGACCATGCCCTCTTTCCCTGTATTGTTTTCTTTAACAGTCCGAAATATCTGGGAGGGGGGGGCGAGGGACTGCAGCCCCCCCCCCCCCTCCGTTTTTCCGCTTCCGACGCCACTGGTATTGTAGAACGCTCCTCGACCTCAAGTTGCATCAACTTCTGTGCTTTTTGCTCGGCGTTTCTTCCGCCCCGGAAAATAAACCTCCAAAGCAATTACAAACAAAAAAAAAAATGTCAAGATGCAGACAAGCTGGTGTATGTTGATCATGATACAAAATCCCGGGACTGGGAATGAAATTCGCAAGAAATATTGTAAAAAAGAAAGAAAAAAAGGAACAGGACAACGTCTCAAACTCAGCTGAGTTGAGTTTGAGACGTTTTCCTGAGCTGAGTTCGAGGCGTTGTCCTGTCCCTTTCTTTCTGCCTTCTTACACTTTTTCTTCAAAATTTCATTCCCAGTCTCAGGATTTTGCATCATGTACAAACTAAATTCACTCGGGCGGCGTTTGATCGGATTTACCAGCGTGCAAGGGGGTAGGGGGGCAGTTTGCCAGATCACTTCAAGGTTTCTCTGAGCCTCAACCAGCTGCCTGCCCCCTGCCGTTTTGAACTGGATGAGTATCGTTAAACAGTGCGTTCGTAGGATCACTACTTCGTGATGCACGTTAATGACCACCCCGGGCTGGCGGTCACAATTACTGATCTATTCACACGTCACTCTGCACTGGCAAATATTCCAGCACATCCCGGACACTCGTCGTCTCATTTAATTGCCTGACCAACTTCGCGCAGTCTAAATATCACACCCGAACTTTTCTAAACCTGATTTCGTGAAAACCAGTCTGGCGTGAAAACGTTATTTGAAACTGAAACTGGTGGCGGAACATGAAAACCCGACTTCGAACTTTGCGCACTTGGACATCAAAAAAATTTAAAACCTTAAAAGTTTTTTTTTTTTTTTAGTCTTGAAAGGGAATTGAAACCTTCGACCTTTTCGAACTTTATGTAAAAAGAAAATCGAAACCTTCGACCTTTTCGAACTTTATGTAAAAAGAAAATCGAAATCTTCGAATTTATCGACCTTTGTCTTTAAAAATTCGAAACGCTCGAATTTTAGATCTAAAGCAATTCGAAACGTTCAAATCTCTCGAATTTCAAATTAGGGAAGTTCGAAAGCTTCAAATTTATCGAACCTCAAGTAAACAAAAATTCGAAATAATCGACCCCAACTTTTAAAAACCGTGAAAGCTTCGAACTTTTCGATTTCGAAACCCCGCGATTTCGGAAAGCTGCGAATTTTTCGATTTCAAACCTCCGTATGGTCGAAAATATAGAAGCCTTTCGAATTCGAGCATCAGTTCGGGTCGAAAATATCGAAACCTTTCGAAATCGACCCTAGGGTGGTTCGCGGCATCCCTAATCACGTGCAAAAATAAATATGTTCAAAAATTCATTTGCAAAAAAAAGATTTTGTATCAAAGCGATAGGCAGCATTATCTTCAATCTACCTTTCAAATTCAGGTTCCGACAATTTTAGTGGTTTTAAGTACTATTTGTATCCGATAAAGCGATTTTATCTTTTTCGGTTTTGAAACCGAAACCGAAACAGGGTGCTATGGCAGGTGGCGCTAGCTATCGCCCAAAATCTCCCTAGTCATATCTTGTTTTGAATGGGCGTCCATAACTCTGCTCTCAGAGGCGAGTCGTCGGGTGCGGGTATCGTCGTCTTATGCCGGCGTTCGCCGCTTATTTTTTACTTTTAAGAACCTTAATAATGGGCGTTTCTTACTAGTGCCTTGTTCAAGAGTGTCAAACGGTATCTCGGAGACGCCGCATCTAGTCATAGACCGTTGGCTGGCAGCGAGAGGCTACGAAAACTTCAAACGGCCGGTGAGCACAACTCTTTTCTTTGTTCAGAACGAAGTGTTACTTTTGCCATAAGCTTGCTAAGCTATGCTCTAACCTTTAGCCCCTTTCCCTGGCAAATCGCAAGCGCTTGTTTCGCACTTGGACTCGTCTTCGTTGTTGTGCGACGGCACCGCGTTGTATCGGATCGCCTACTTCTGATGCTCGTAACTGGGCTTGTAACAGTACCGCATCACTCAGATGTCCACGCAACTTTCTATTGCGAAGTGGCACTGGCACAATCAGTTTCGTAAGTGCCACAACATCGCCAACAGAAATATTGAAGCTGAAATGTTGCGAGTGATTTCCGAATAAACTACTCCGAAAAAGGCTGAGAGAACTTCTGTGGCTCGCTCGACGCGCTCCGCCCCTTTCCCACGGATCGGTTGGAGCTAGACTTTTAGTAGATCGTTTTCAGAGGCTCTGTACTGCTACGGGCGCGCGCTTCAGAGCATGCATCGAAGTGGCAGCGCGAGCTCCTGCTACGAATAGCGTGGTCTGAAAACACGGCCGCTCGCCGAGCGCTCTACCGGCTCCAGATTTACCAGCGGCACAAGAATCCGCCCGGCGAGCGCGTGCTATTTGCCAAGGGAAGGGCTACTAGTATGCTTGTGACCTGGGCCGGTTTGCTGGATAGCGACGTTGTGTTTGTCCTTTACCTGTCTCGGCTTTCAGTATGTCGAATGCGCCAAGCGACTGAGAGAGAGGAAGAGACGAGTGCGCGAGGACGTCAGAACGCTGAGCTCTGGTCGGATTGATTAGTGGGTAGACCTAAAGCCCTTGGTCTGCACTGCATGTGTCGAACACATTCTGATGCAAGAGCATAACGCCAGACGCATTCTAGCTTGTTCGACAAGTGCAATGAAGACAAAGGCAGCTAAATTTAGATCTACCCACTAATCATTCAAACGAAAGCTCGGCATTCTGATATCCCCACGCTCTCTCATTTCCCCTTCTCTCTTAGTCTCCTGCCCAGTATTGTTACCTTCAATAACCGTTTATGTCGTCCAAGTTTGCCACGTTTACATCAATCCGACTTGAGTGCGTAGACTCTAATTATTCTCAGAATTAAGCCGATACGCCAGCATTCACCTTAAAGGAGCCCTGCAATCATATTTAAGCGTCAACCTTTTTTGCGGTTTCCACTTCTCTTCTGGTTCGGGCAAGCCAGCGGGTACGGAAAGAGTAACCAAATATCAGTGCATCATATTTTAACCGGACGACGCGGAAACCTCCTCCACCTACGGGGGCGCCCCGCGGTACCGAAAGTGCACGAAATGTGACGTCTTTGGTCCTGGGCTTACTACTGGTGAGAGCCGCTAAAAGCTTCTTTTAGTCGAAATACAAAATATAAGTGGCAAGAACCGTCTCAATTATTTATGCAAGTAGTTTTTGTTCAGTATTTTAGATCAGAAAAGAAACAAATGCAGTTTATAAAGTCCGGAAACCAGAAATGACCCGTCGACATACCCGTCACCAAGCGGTAAAAAAGGCGGCGCATATTAGAAACGAATAGTAGGATCAGGCTCCAACGAGTGGCTAGCGTAGAAAGGTCCCGGATGTATGCGGTGGCACTGCGGTCGTTTACGGACTCGAGGATTTGACCAGTTTTGAGCGTTCGGCACAGGTTTGGCTTGCAGTTTGGCCGTTTCGCGGTATGGCAGCGCAAAGTGGCTCCTGTTCTGAACTGATCTTTACCCCGTGTTTGCTGTCGTTTGTGGCCAATGAAGTGTCATGCCGAATTAGTGTTTAATTGTGCAGCAAATGCAATGCGAGCCGCCCTGGCTGCCTGCTCCTACAGCCTATCCAGAACATGCTTTTGTGGCACCCTCTCGAGCTGTCGACGCAGAGTGCGGCAGCCATGAGCGCTCGCTGCACTCACTACTCCTCCTCTAGTTTACGGCCACTGAAGTGGCCAAAGACGTCACGAAGGAAGTTATTTTTTGCTTGTTTTTGTAATATTAATTTGCCTATAACTTTTAAGATAAAGCGAAATTCGAGGGAAAAAAAAGTTTCATTAAGTTACTATGTTTAGTGCGCTTAAGTTCGGTGCAAATTAAAAACCAGTACAAAAGTAATTGCTAGGCCCCTTTAATGCTCAAGTCCTATGCTAAGATGGCACCATGTTGTGTCACATCTCAAAGTTAAACCAGCATTTCCAACTCAAGCCGAACATTGTAATCACAATTTCTGTCTGGTGTTCCGCATGCGGTGGCCTTTCTGATAGCATAAAGATCTTAACCACGGTCTTTGATGCTCTGCAAGAAGTTACAGGATGCAAGAAAGCGCTGATAGTTCTGGGCCTTGCCACTCTAGAACCGAGGGAACAATACTGCACACGACATGGCGAGCAAGATAGTTTCCAACGGCTTCCAAGACACTACAGCTACTTCGATCATGGTTGGACTACAAGGACGAGAGGTTCCAGTGCAAGTAGGAGCAGCACTGAGGTAGGAACTACTTTTTCTGCAGTACCAGCACTTTGAGCTCGCGATGCCATTCCTGCTTACAACTTACTCTAGGGGCTCCCTCCGGTGCGCAAGGCCAGAGTGGGTGCCGCCCTCGCCGAGCAGCTCAGCTATTTGCGACTCCAGCGAACTATAGGGGCGCGCCGGTCAGGCAGTATGGCGGGCGAAAGGAGGTTGCTTTCGTCGTTCAGCTCGCTGACCACCATAAATTCTTTCACTGCAGCGTAAGATCGGTGTTACATGTGAAAGCAAAGCGATTTTTCGACGGTAGGAACCTTCTAGTCAGTGCGTAGGAATGACACGGCGGAAGCATAACAATAATTACTGGAAGCAATGTTTGTTTCTATGCTGCCTACGTGAACCAAGCAGCGATAACAGACGACAGAGTGGAAACGACCTCCTCTCCTGAGCTTCTTGGTGTTGCCGCTACGCAGCGTTGATTTCGCTGGAGTCTCCAATATTCAGCTCATTTGCAATGGCAAGAAAGGTGTTCGTTTCTTCTCGAGAGAAACTTACGGAGGGACACCCAGGATTGTGCCCACTTTTTTTCTGCTGCCAACAAGACAAGATTCACCGCCTCCATGTTCTCAGCTAGGCACATCGCCAGGATTTTGATTCGGGGGGGGGGGGGGGGGGGGGGGGGGGGGGGGGATTGGTGCCCGCTTTTTGCTACCAACTTTGCCAATACTGAGTTGGCGGCAAAAGGAAAAGGAATGCTATACTCTAGCTCTGCAATGCCTATACAGTTACTCTATATCTGGACTAAGCGCAGCGCTCGCGTTAAACCACGAAACTAAAAAAAAAAAAAAGATCGCAAGAGTGCAAAGACAGGAAAGGACCTTGAGACAAGTTGAAAAATGTGTCATCTCAGGATCATCCTTTTGTTAATTTTATTTCGTACGTTTTGTAACAAGTCGTCGCAGATTGTCACCGCGAAGCGGCTTGAATGGGTGTACCAGGTAGGTTAAAGGGACACTGAACCGAAATTTGCATTTCCCAAAGTAAGGCTGCAGAAGTGTTGAACCAGATGCTACGAACTCCAAAACATCCCTCGTACATCGATATCTCAAACGGATGGCCCTACTTTTGCAAAAAGAAGGGCGCGATCAAGCGAGTTCTTTGACGTAACTGTCCTCCGGGAGAATTTGAGTATGAGGAGAAGCGGCCTCGTTTCTCTTTTCCTCGCTTCGGTTCACCAGCTTGGCGGGACGTAGCGAGGAGAGAGAATGGGAATCGTGACGTGCCTTGTCTCGTCGGCCGGGTTCTGTCGCGCACTTCTTTCCCAAAAAAATACGGCGATCTCTTAGATATATCACCGTATGTGTGGTATTTTTTGGTTTTGCAACTTCCCACCTATCCACCCGGCCTTGTTTAGTTAGCTCGAAATCTCGGTTCAGTATCCCTTTAACACGCACCTTAGTGTTGCGTGTGCGACATAGTGGTCGTCCCCCACTGCAGTGGCGTGGACAGGGAGGAGGCTTATGGGGCTTCAGCCGTCCCTCCCCTGGTCATAAAGATCCCAGCCTCCTCAGCCAGTCCCCCGCCCCCCCCCCCCCCCCCCCCCTCCCTCCTAAAAAAATCTATGCGTCGCACCGTGAAAGTGGCAAGTTATTTTCTTCGACAAGGAAGGGCACATGGGGGTAAATTACCTTGCTGCAATTTTAGGGGTTTCTATGGTGCAGTATTTGCTTTAAAATGTCAGGGAAAAAAGTATATTTTGGCTTTTAAAAAGCTGCATCCAGCTAACATCTGCAACGATTTTTCGTGCAGCGAATTGCCCTATGACGAATCGGCCTATTCGACGAATGAACCGCCGACGAGTTGACCGTCGACGATTTGTCCTAGACCCTCACCACATCATCTCAGCTGCGGTCTACAACACAGGACGACATTGCATTCCTATAGGACAGGGGTCTCAAGCACGCGGCCCGCGACTCGCTGGGACGCGGCCCGCAGGCACCCGGCTACGCTTTCCGGTACCTGTGCGCTGGAAATGGCATGCGCCATAGTGATCTCATCACGCCGATTCATTTCCGCTCGAAAAGTAGCTCTGCTATTTTAACGTATTCACATAGTTTATACTTATCTGTGCTCATTTGCCCTTTGTTTCGCTTTATTTTTTTGCTTCCCGGCTTTTTGTAATGTACAACAATTACGCTACTGCTGCAAGCGCAAACTATTCGTTTCAGGATACATCTCGGCTGCGCGAACTCTCTATCAGCAGGAGTAGCTGCCAAAGATAAAGCTACGAGGTCGGGACTAGATCCATCTCAGTATTTTCTCAGTGTGTTGTAATAAAAATCGTCAGGAAAGCAAGGACTGTCAAATTAACTGATTGATTTTTTAGAGACAAGTTGGGCTTGGTGAATTTCCGAGCAAATTAAGCAACGAAAACGACAGTGCAATTTCTCTCTTGTTCCATTAAAAATGCTAGCATGCTGGCGGGGCGGTGTCATTTTAATTATTGATATCACATGACGTGAGGCCCCAAAGTAGTCATATAAACCAATCAAATCTAAACATGTCACTGGCAAAACTGTGACTTACAAAAAGCATAGAGGACGAGGTCTTTTCATTTTTAAAATCATCTAACTCCCCCCACCCCCCCCCCCGTTGCTGCTTTGGCCCTTGACCTTTCCGGTATGGGATATCTGGCCCTCAGACTCAAATGAGTTTGAGACCACTGCTACAGGAGGTGCGCGACAGAAACATTTAATAGGACCCAACAAGGTGGGCAACAATTGCCGGCAACTTGCGACGCGCAAACGTTTCTCGGTGAAGTTATGGAGTGCGAAGGTCAGTACACAAGACCTGTCTTGCTTAGGCGACGCAGGTGGACATTACCAGTCGACTGCTTCCGTTGCATTCTCATATTTAAACAAATCTAAAATTATTACTGTGAACCAAGAAACTTTTTTTCTTCTCAAGTTATAGTATTTTGTGTGCAAAATAAAAAGTGTTACTGTATCTTTGTGGCGTTGCAAGCACGAGGTGCTTAGGCCTTTCCGTTGCGGTGTAGAAACGTTATTCTAAAACACCCTGGCAGAGCGCGCGCTAACGCATGCACTGACTTTAGTGCTAGCACGCGCTCGGTCGCTCCGGCGAAAAGTAAATCCGGTAGAATAAACACAAATTCGGGACGAAAACAGACGCATGCAACTCTTTCAACTCTCAACGAGATTTATTTCGTCTCCGTTCAAACGACGGCCATCGAGCAGGTTCAGGGGAGGGAGCAGAGAAAGAAAAAGGGGGGGGGGGGGTTGAAAGAAGAAGAGGGGGGAAAACAGGTTCTTCGCGGCCTTCCCTCAAGGCCCCTGGTCCCTTCCGCCCAGTTCAGGATGGAGGAATTTCATCTCCCTGTCTGAAAGGGCTAGAGAAGCCGAAGCAACGTTAGTGACCGAGCTGTTAATGGCGATTCGGTGACTTCGCTGCCAAATCTCTGCCGGTGTCCTCCCAATACGCGCATACCTTCGTATCTGGGCGAACAACCGTCGCACTTCATACGGAGTACGACTATTGGATGCATAGAGTCGTCGGGGGGTTTGCTCACCTCTCGCGAGTGTTCCCTCAGGCGCTCAATTAGGCACCTGCCGGTCTGCCCTATATACCCCCCCCCCCCCCCCACACACACACACGAAAAAAGGATGGTATAGACCACCTCCTTCCTGCACTTAACAAACTGCTGTCCGTGCTTTTTGTTGCATTGGGTCACGGAGGGTGGCGTATTCACCATTCTGCACATTTGTTGAAGCTTTTGCTTGCAGCTAAACACTACCCCTATCTCGAAGTGATAGGCAAGTCCCTTAAGGCGATGTGCGGTGTTGTGCGAGTAGAGGATTACTGCAAAATGGTTTTTACGAGGAACAGGAGCGGCTGGCGGTGCCCGGGAGGCAGTGATCAGCCTCTTTAGTGTCTTTGCCACTAAGTCTTCAGGGTACCCTGCCCTCTTTAGCCCCTCAAGGTCACGTGACCTCGGGGGGTCACGTGACCTTGAGGACGGGGTCACGTGACCTCAGGGGAGTCACGTGACCCCCCACGAGGTCACGTGACCCCGGTGGGGGGGGCTCGCGTGGTGCATTATGGGACATTTCCCATGATGCACCGCGCGGTTACGCCGACGGCGACGGCGACGCCGCTCAAGCCGGAAACGGGCCCCTAAGAGCTGCGCTCTAAAAAAGTGAAAGCCGTTTACAACTTCCTGTAACGCCGAATTAGAGCGCAGCTCTTGAGGAGGAGGAGTGGAGGGTATATTCCTCCTCCTCCCTCGTGATCATGCCTGCTAGTCCTCCTCCCCTCCTGCTCCCCCTCCCTCTTCTTTACCACCTCCTCGTCCTTCAAGCTCCTCCCCTCCCCTCGCCTCCGCCTCCTCGTCTCTCCTCCCCCCCTTCTCCACCTTCGTACTGCTTTCCTCCTCGCCGCTGAAGTCATGTGACCCCCTCCTCCCGAGGTCACGTGACCCCCCGAACCAGACAATGAGGGGAGGAGGAGGAGGGGGAGGAGGAGGAGGGCAGAGGTCCGGGGTGTCACGTGACCTCGAGGGGACGGGATCACATGACCTTGGGCGGGCCGTCACGTGACCGGCGGGGGGAGGGGAGTCACCCCCCGGGGTCACGTGACCTGGGCGGGGGGAGGAGGGGGAGGAGGAGGAGCGGGGGGAGGAGGAGGGGGGAGGGGCGACGCCGACGCCCCACAGGCTGGAAACGGGTCATGTGACCCCCTCCCCCCGAGGTCACGTGACCCGCCCGGACCATACTACACAATGAGGGGAGGAGAAGGAGGGGAAGAGGAGGAGGAGGGGAGGAGGAGGAGAGGGAGGGGCGCGGTTACGCAGACGCCGACGCCGACGCCGACGGCGACGCCAACGGCGACGCCGCTCAGGCTGGAAACGGGTCCCTAAGAGCTGCGCTCTAAAACAAGCGTGTCTCACGTAAAGAAGCACGGGCAACCGGGTCCGCTAACAGCTGCCATTAACCGCATATCGA